CTACAGACCACCAGGGCGGCCGAGAAAACCTTTGTTTGACCTGAAATGACTCATTTAATCATCCAAAACGTTATGGAACACATTAATTAACTGAAAAATGTTGCATAGTGTGCCTTTAAATACAGACACATAATGAGAGAAGAAGAAGTCCTCTTAGTGCCGGCTCGGACAGGGAACGATTTTTGGCACAGGCACTTTTGCATCTACACCGGCCCACTTACAGGTTTTGGTGAAATTTCAAACACTATAACAGAAAAAAAAATTGCTTTAATCTAGAAGTTTGCTCTAAAGTTTATTTTCATTGTTAGTAAATTAAAAGAGGAAAAAGTGATAATGACACAGAGGGTTTCAAATCAAAACTCCCTACCAATCAGTTAGCGACCTCCTCCAGCCCTTCTGGTCCTCTTCTTTTGCTAACTTAGATGTTTGAAGCCTGCGATTCTTTCGCCAACATAAAATATTACATCCTGCATTCTATTTTGGGCATCCTGGGTTTTCTCATGACAGCCTCAGGAACCAGGATGTAAACAAAGTCAACACACTTCACTGACAACTCTAGGTCTGAAAGGAGAAGAACTTGACTGACACTGTCGATGGTGAGAACGGAGTGTTCACAGCGAACTTTACGTCCATCTCAGGTGACAAAAGAAAAAGACATTTCACAGGACATTTCTAACCTATTGCTAATTTAAGGCATTTCATTAATAACAGTTAACAGATGCTAATACTCTCTAGATCATAGATATTGAAAACCAGACTAAACAGGGCTCTAAATGTCACATAGAACAGTTTTTGGTACTCTCTCGGTTGTACATTAACATGCATAAATTATTGATCATTTTAATTTATTCTGTGAGCATGATAATAATCATTTATTTTATAAAAAATATAGCTTTCCTCAGAAGTAAAGACAATTCTTAATTTTAATACTTTAAAATCATAAAGAAATTCACTTCACATAAATAAACACAAACAAATTAGATTTATGTCTTAGATTGTCTGCCTACAAATACCAGAGGGTTAGAGCTCCTTACAAAATAACAATTTTTGATTTTCATAGCACCAGACGATTTTTGCGTTCTTTGGATGCCGACAAACTTAAGAAATCACAATCGTTTTGTTCTCAGACGATGCTTCCGCCAAAGGCCTCAAGTTACAACCGTCTAGATAATGAAACACCGTCATATTTTTAGAGGGTAGAGCAGAGAATTATGCTATAACTTCTACAAAAAATAGATTTGAAAAGTTGGCAATAATACCATTTATAAGACAATAACGTCTATTTATTATCTATCTATCTATGGCTATTTATTTAAAATATGTAACCTGTAAATATGTTTAAATTATACAAATTATATATCTTTGCACATAAGCAAATAGGAAACCGTCTTGGCTTTCTTCTGGTGTTACTGTCGTCTTTGCATTGCTATTCCATCAAAATTTATAATAAAAGCTTGTATCCTACCAGACATGTTCACAAGTCATTTTTTGCAAGTCCAAGTCAAGTCTNATTAGAGACAGGAGCAAAGACTAATTTCTATTGGTCCGCTGGACATTTATAACATTTTTATTGGTCAAAAGCTAGTGTTTAGAGAGAATGTAATCTGGAAATTGCAATTGAAAGACATAAAACTTCATCTGAAAAATGTTTTAATAAAAATTAGGACAAAATAAAATTACGCTAACATTAATATCCTTTCTGGATTTAATCTATTTGAATCTTTTTTAATTATATCTTTAGTAAACATGTCTTTTGCACTAATAATTTATTCACTACATATTAATGGAGAGAAAATGGGGTGAATTTGCTGCCTGTGGCCTTCAGGAGGAGCCAAACTTTAAAACGACTGGCTCCCCCTAGTGGCTAAAAGTTAGTGTTGCCTTAAATTGTAAATCGAAATTAAGCCAAAAACCTTTAAAATTCAAAATGAGAAAAATAAAAACCAAAAAGCAGGACTTAGTAGAATGAATATAAATGTTATATATGCAGGTGAATCATGGATAAAACCGAAAGGAAACAGGAGCCAGAATGAGGTTCTAAATACCACGTTTAATTACATCCGAGTGTAGAACCACGAGTTAGAGTGGAAGGACAGTTTATAAATCGGTGAGGATCCGTATGGAACGTGCCTGAGGTGGGTCTCATTCATCCCCAAGCTGACGGGTCAGCAAAAAGCTCTGTGACTGAGAATAACACACGGACCTGTATACGATAATGCATAATGGATTCTATAACGAGTGCACGACATGCTTCAACAAGCACAAGGCTATGTACAGTGCTGGTTCTATGCCGTCTGTGTAGGTCAGGTCCAGGTGCTGGAGATGGACACGAGATGTTGACATGCAGTTCAGCTCTGGAAGCGAAGATTTCAGTCCAGGGAGGAAACCTGAGGACAGAGACGGGACATCAGAACCAGAACTACAGCTGGACGTTTATTATGTTAGAAAACAAGATTGCTGTTTCTATATTTATTTGGTAAAATGCTCATTTATTTTCATTGAAGGGCATTACAGAGACATGGAATAAGAGTAGAAGACCTGCATCTGTTCAAACTGAATGTGTTTCAAACTGCAGATAAATGCTGAATTAATGTTAAAGTTCTTCTCTTTGATTTAATACGGAAGCAGAGAGCGATCGCTCTCCATTTTTTATTTTTCCTTTGCCTTCTCGAGATAATGACACTAAATCATTATCACGGTTTAACCATTACTATTGGGGCCAGGTTAGAGATTTTTTGTTATTTTGAGAATATGTCATAATATTACGAGAATAAAGTCATCATATAACAACCAGTTCCAGAAAGAAAGCTTGGAGCTCCGCCCAGCAGATGATGTCAGACCAGCTCCACCAATCAGCAACCAGAGTCCACTTTGACATCCTGCCCAGTTTGATGCTGCTGCTAAAAGATTTCCTGATTTGTCAAACCGATGCTAAAGTAGAACTTCACATGATGCTCCACATTCCTCATTTTAGGGAAGACAGCGTTGTCATAAAATACAACTTGTTTCTCGTAATTTTAT